AGAGAAAATTGCTTAAGGCCATCGAGCAATTTCGTTTTTAGCTACAGTCGTTGATGAAAGGCGAGTGCTTGGCTTTGCACAGCCCGCCAAAACGCCTATTACAACGTACGCGGCATCCCGTAAGCGCTGTAGCAGACGCTCGCAGAACTGAAACTTAGAGGCAGCAAATCATTGGCTATCATCGTATACTCTGGACGCTAGACGTTTCACGTGCTACCTTGATATTATCCGCATACACTTCTTTCTTTCCTGGTCGATTCATCGGCTATCGTGTGTCGTCCTCACCCTCTTAAGGACCGAGTAAGTTAAATTCGTACCCGCGCTATAGTAATCTTTCCAGATAAGAAAATTCTTGGCTAAGAAAATGCGTAGGGCAAGAGAAAGCTTTGTGAATTGGGCCTCTGGTGTTTCTTCTCACCAATTCCCAAACAACACCGAGCTATGCGCCAAGTGACAAAAGAATATTGCACGAGACAGCCTCATTATCAACAAGTCTGCATCAACTATCGTTTGCAGCAGACGCATGCGCGATGAAGACTAGGTGCCTGCGTTCTGCACCAGAAAACTAATTTGTGACTCCACGCCTACTCTTTTCGATGGCTGGATGTGGTTATAAGAGGGAAAAGAGGAGAAAAGTGAGCCCCGTAACTGTCTGCTGCAGCGTGCGACACCTCAACAATAGCTCACAAGCGATGGGGGTGAAGAGGGATTAAAAGGATAGGATTAAAGGTATAAAGACAGAGAGAGATGCGCTAGGACAACGACCGACGACATAGAGAAGATAGGAGAGATAGGAAAGATGGAAACACGGTCACAGGAGTCCGAGGACGGGGCACCACTTGCGAGAGTTCTTGGCGACAGGAGATGGCGTAGGGCTACTCGAGTCGGCCAAAGCTGCGCTGTCGTCGGAGATCACGAGGGCACCACCGGTCGGCACGGAATCCAGTGAGCGAGTCCTTTTCGAGGATTACCCTCCCTACTTTATTGATTCCAAGTGCATAGAAGCCTCGCTAAGATCCTGCTTCACGATCTTCACCCCTACGTGAAACATCAAGGAAGCTAAAAGCGGGGACCAATGAATAAGATCTGAATGTTGCGACTTCACAAGACGCTTTCACTGAACAAGAAGCAGTAAGTGTTTGCACGACAATGAACAGCGATGCTCATGGCGCGGATTGATACCAGACTATAGTCTGGTATCAATCCAATTTAACCCGCGCTATCGTTTTATCATATATATGATAGGGCGATTGCACTCTCCAGTGTCGTACCATCGTTCAGAAAGCGAGAAAGTGTAACAATTGCTAAAAGAAGAGAAAAGGGCGTCCGAATATTATCGCGAAAGTATGCACCACCCATGTGTTAAGAAAATCGCAACAAATGCACACAAAAAAACAAGCCTCGCTTGTTTTTACTCGAACAGAGTTCGACAGAATAAAGCAATCACCGTACCCTCCATCCCCAAGAGGCTACGATCATGCTCGGACTTCGGGGCTTCTGACACTGCCAGCAAAGCGCACTCTTCAGAGGTATAGAGGTCAAAGCCCAGCATCATCAGGTATGAGCAATTCCTTAAACCATTTGTGCGTCTTCAACGATTACGCACCTTCTTTTTCAACGCGAGGCGAGTGGGAAAGCGCGTCCGAGCTCATGTGCCGGCATTGTGCGCGCTGCATGGAGCGGCAGAGGAAGGTCTATAGCAAAGAAGAATTTAGTAACGTTGGTCTATAGTGCGTAGATGCGCGCACCCCCGTGGGGAGTGTAGTCATTCTTTGTGTCTGAAAGGATCGACGCCCCCCCCCCCCCCCCCCCCCCCCGCCGCGCGCGTCCGTCACCCTTTGGCTTACGCTGCGCTTGTTTAAACGTGTAAGTGGCGCCTTGTCGGCTGTCTGATTCGACGCAAAACCTGCAAGATGACTGCGTGCTGCGTGCCACTCAGAGTACGAATCATTCTAGAAAAGAATGGAAGGCGTTTTCTTTCCCAAGTGATCCTAAATGAAAACTTTTATTGACAATGATAATAAAGAGTGACATGTGGCAGCCAACAAACGCCTCTAGTAAATGCAGCGTGAACATTTCTTGTGCTACGTTGCACACTCGGGGGATGATTTTCCAAACGGAGTGCATATTATTAGTAACACAGTAACAGATCAAACTATTACAAGTTACGTGCGTGGTTCTCATAGAGTCCAATCCGTTCTCACAAATGTAGTGTTCCTTTGGGATATGCTTGGAAATGGTACTTTCTCCGTCGCGGACAACTTCTTTTGCTTTATGCATGAAGGTGAAAATCTGAAATGGTGACGCCTATAATGAACTGCAACCATTGACGCCGAGTTGTCTTTCTTTGCGGAGCAAGAACTAAAAATGGAAAATTCGGTGTTCATGCTCCCATTGCTCCCGAAAGTACAACGTTTTGACTGCATGTATCGACCCACAATAACTTGCATGCCGTTTAACTGCTACATGCCGTATACATTCTCTCAGTAATATATATACACTGACTCAATATTATGCTCTCATATACACCGATTCCTTTCACATTTCATGCGTAGACATACATGCAAGTGCGTTCAGACATGTGTGGTGTTTAGGATTGATATTGTCAAAAGCGTTGGCATTTTTATTGGATGTTTTTTTTTTCATTGTATATCATGGCTCCGACCCAAAAGGGGCGACGCAACAGCCAGCGCGTTCAACGTACAGACTTTCCAATAATGCTTCGCGCATCGGCGCGGGGCTCTGGGATTGCTTTAAAATGGTCTGTCTACAGCTGCACAAAAACCTCATTTGCCTATGCATAGTTATAACTAAGCTGACTTAAAACGAGTTTGAATGTCATTGGTGCATGTGAACCTATTAGCTAATAGCGGAGTTTTCAAGTATGAAATCAAAACCTGCCTCAGTGAACCCACAATTAGGAAAGGGACAGAAATTTCGTGCTCTGATATATATAATTTTAGTTTATTACCACTCCATATCTAATCTAATTGTCCAATCTGCGGGCGCTGATGAGTTTAACGCCCCAAAACCATCATGATTATGAGAGACGCCGTAGTGGAGGGCTCCAGTAATTTGACCACCTGTGGTTTTTTAACTTTTAACCCAAATCTGAGCACACGGGTCTACAGAATTTTTGCCTCTATCGAATATGCAGCCGCCGCAGCCGGGATTTGATCCCGTGACCAGCGGATCAGCAGTCGAGTACCTTAGCCACTAAATCATTGCGGTGGGTAATCTGCGGGTCCTATCTTCGCGTATTAGGGACGAAGCTCTTTATGGACTTGGGAAGTCTCGCACCCCTCCGGCGTAGCCAGCATATAGACAGAGACATACGAATGGATAAACAGACAGAAAGACGCATGAACGGACAGACGCGCGCACGGACAGACAGATGGATGGGCGGACAGACGCTTCGCCTCGCTGCTCATTCTTCACTCCGTTGATATGCTGTGATTTGCTTTTTGTTTCGCTGATTCATTTGCTTCGCTAGATGCGTTGCACACTCATATTACAAAAACGGGGCATTTAGAGTGCGCGTCTAAATACTGTGTGTTGATCTTGGAGAATTTGAGCTGGAATAGCATCAGAGGAACATAAAGGCACATTTTCCGTGCATAACGGGGTGGGTGCATTATTGCACTGCTTTTCCTTTCGACAGTCCACGGAATCACACTTTTGCATTACTGCTTTCTAATACACAGTGTTCTGCATCTCTAACTTGCCTGAATAAAGCTACCTACAACACACTATACGACTTAATTAACAAAAATGCCCGAAAAGCAGAGCTTACCATCCAACAGGTTTTGAACATTATAACTGCACCTATCACAAAATGACACATAAAATATTGATACAATATGTTACTTTATTCAATCAAAATTTAACCGAAATACTTATTGACTGAAAGTTCGCCATCATCTTTTAGCATTGCTTTTAACAACACAGTGCATGCATAAATACTGCTTACCAGTTCTCGGTCCTGGGAATCATTAAAAGCTTTCAGTATACGGTCCATTCTATTAGCTTCTCTTTTTCTCTTTTGCTGCTTCCGATGTGACATACCTTCAGGTGCCTTAACCATTAAAATATATAAAAATGAGATCAAATGTTTTGCACTTTCTAAACAACATTTACAAACGCATTGGGGTGCAATTGTGTTATCAGAACCAGCAAGAACTAGACAGTATGCATGAAATTAACAATCACTGACTAATTCATTGCTGGCACAGAAATAATTCTAAGTTCAGAGGCCTGTGATTGGAAAATTGTAACGTTAAAAGCAATCGTGGCATGTAATCGAAATTGAGGTTACCAATGTGTTTCATATTTTTTCTGTCCTTTTTCATTCAACCTTCAACAGCTGCGGCAGCAACAAAAAAGAACACTGTGTATACAAAGCATGACAGACACGCTGGCATTATTTCGCCTCAGGATTTTTTTTACTGCGCAGGTTGTACATTTGCGGGCTGCCTCTTTCCCTACATGATGTACGCTCTTCATTGTTGTTGATGGGGTGCAGTGCACCCTTTTAGTTCCTCAGGCAGCTCAAAAAACGACTCGCGATGGGTTAACAACATATACTTCACCACTCTCATCCTCCCACACATTCCTTTTTCAACTAAAGACGAGGAAGCGACACGGAATGTTGTAAAAAACAGCAGAAAATACGTCACCTCTACACAGTAGCTCCTGCTCGTGTTCTGGCGAACCAGGTCTCAGGCACCATATTTGTTACTCTGGCAACAAGGCCAATATTACTTAGCAAAAAACAAGCAACACTGATGTGCCAGCTTCCCTTCTGTTGGCGCTTCGAGCTCATTTTATTGGCGCAGCCCTCTAATGTCACGGGCGAGTGAAATGTGGTCAGGTGACCCCGCAAAAAGTGAATTGAGAGTGTGTGTTTTTTCTTGTATTTTGAGTTTTCTAAGCGAAACAACTTCAGACTGCGTGCTGTTTCTACTGCGCTTTTTTCTACATTAGTCTGCTTGTACTTCAGTCTACACAACCTACAAATAAAAATATGGGGAGTTCAATAGTCTTGGAAAACCTCTTTAAGCTATCAAGTTCAAAAAGATATTTGAAAGAAATCTTACCACGATGCCTTTACCAAGCTTTCCTATAATTACTTGAGGAAGTGTGCTTCGGGATGCTTTCAGCTTCACTACAAGGGTGTCAAAGGAGTCTGAAAAAGAGTGATAAAAATTCTCATGAAGGAACACAACATATAGGAACGTTTTTCACATGAATGCTTCAATCATAGTGTCTAGTTATGCACAAAAACACTTGCATTTTTTCCTGCATATAGTATAACAGTAAATGCCTACAAAAAAACTTCTTACCACATCATGGCAGAAGTGACCTTACAGGCATCTTCCACCTGCTTGTGCACCATCATACATAATTGATTATCTTATTCAAGTTGCAAACAAAGTTTTCTAATTAAACACAAAGTTCTGGCACCCTTATCTGACTTACATTTTGAACAAATAATGGAGCAACTTCAGCTCTTTAGACACAAAGCATCTATTGCTCGGGTCTATGTTCCACGACGTCGATGTCTGCACTCACAATATGCATGCATAACTTTTTTCCTCTCTTACGCTTTCCCCTCTCGCCTCGCAATGCCGACGCAGAGAGCGTCTACTAACCTACGCTTGCACCCCCCTCTCCTCTTAGTTTCTTTAAGAAAACTGCCAGCTCAGCTGTATCATTGCTGTAAAAAAATAAAGCCCTGCAGAGAATTTGTGACTTTTTGTAGGTTAGCGTAATTGGTTAGAAGAAAACACATGACCTTGTATTATCACAGACTTATATAAGGGACATGTTAACTGTGCCCTTTTATATAATTTACCAGTATGCTACTGCCCAGTTCGAGTCAAACTATCATGCCACAATTGTTACACAAACATCTTCCGGCATGACATCTCTTCTTGTACCTGCTTGTGACCACTATTCAGTGCTGAGCGTTGGCACAACAGGTCTTGGAGAAGATGTGCCACCAGTGTCGTTATGGATTTCCACTATCATGCAACAAGAATTACGCCATCCAGATGGCAAGGTACGTGAATTAGTCTCCGCTAAAATGTTGAAATGGGGCACATTTGCCGACACACTGTAATTCACATAAGTGTGAGTTGTGCCAAAATAAGATTAAGATTCTCGGTAGAATCAGCGACACCATGGCTAGAGAACAGTTGGAAGAATTTCCAATAACAGCATGAGGCTCCTTATGTATCATTGTTTCTTTCACAGGCACAGAGCAGATTCTTGGATCACAGGTTGTGATTAGGGTGGGTATTCACTCGTGTGTCTAGGATGCTGCGCATGTATATTCTTATATTTCATGGCAGTATTGAATAAATGATAGAAAATTTGCACTACCCTTCGCCACTTCTCTCGTTTTCATGTGCAAAACAGCCATACATTTGTAGCTTGTACATGAACATATACCAGATTGAACATGCGCATACATGCACTGAAATTGTGCCATATATAGTATTCGATGTCATGACGTGAATGACTTCAATGACCTCAAAGACAAACAAGGCAATGTACGCAGCTTTTCGTTGGCTACCTCGCAATACATAAATTCCCGTAGTGTGTGGAATCTGGTAGACCTCTCCAAGGTTTATTAACAGGTGAAAATATTAATAACGCTGGGTCCAAAGGTACGTCGGAAGTACCCAAATACTAAAAGCTTAAGGTAAATCAGACGTACGCAAACCCGCGAGTCCAAAGATACGTCGGGTGTGCGTGAATCCAAAATTTGAAGGTACTGTGCATAAGACGCACCCGTCACCGCGAGCCTTGAAGATGCATCGGTTGTCGCGATGTAGTGGGACACACCAGTCACAGAGTAGGTCGTGGCTACTGCGTACCAGTTCGCATAAGACCAACAAGGAACGAGCCGAGTGAGCACTGCCGATGACAACAGAAAACTTTGAGCATCGCATGATTGACGAACAGCGTCGCAGTTGGTGGTGCCAGCCGCAGACTTCTGTCAGTCACCGGTGTGAACGCCTTCTAAAAGGACTAGGGACAAAACTGAAAATGTGATAACTCGTCATATAGATTTGTCTAGGCTTTTCTATCAACGATTTTAAAGTATGTCTCATGTCGCCTCTCTACCACACGTGAAATGCGCCTTCAGTTTTCCCAAAAAGACGAATTGCCATCTGCGTCACAAGTTTGTGCTTGCTGCCTGCCACAATCCTTGCGAGCGTTCTCTCCTAGCTGATCTTTTGAATGGGAAAAAGCAGCAGACTCGCACAGAAGTGCAAGTTTGCCCCGTGTGCCTTGAATTTTTTTTAAAGTCGGTACTTTTCTTTATTCATTTTTTTAGCATTGCGAGTGCGTGAAATGCTCTGTGTTCGAATATGACGGAAATTCCATGAAATGGTGATTTTTACTATGCTTTGTGTGTAGAAATGAATGACAATATGATCTAGTAAAATATATACCCCCCCCCCTGCTGTAATGCCTAAAAAGGCGATGCACGTAGTCAATAAATAAATGAAGTTTGGCTCTGCAGTGCTTTTTTTGGGGGAGGGGGGGGTCACGTTTATAGTTGCCACCTCCGAGGGGGGATCATACCAACCCCCTAGGGCCTCTTTTGAACGTGGTTTTCTTTGTCCATGTAGCCAGTTGAGTTTGCAGAAGCCATTCTGAGTGCCGCCTCACTCGATGCAAACCGCAACTGCGACCATCTTTCAAAAACTGACCAGCGCGCGTGAGCCCGCTTTGTTTTTTGTTTGTTTGTTTGTTCAATCAAGTGCTTTAACCAAGCTTAAGTAGGTGACAAAGTGCAACAACCGACGTTTATTTAGACTTCTTTATCCACGCTTTCGTGGGTCCAGGAGATCAGTCGTGCGAACAAACGACGGACGGGCGCGACAGGCTGGTCTAATTTAGAGTCTCTTGAGTGCAAGCTCGCGAGAAGGCGCGACGTCCAACTCATCTTTAGACACCTGGTTATGGGTATACGTGTTCGACGTATCTTTAGGCTCTCTGTTTTGCCTACGTCCGACGTACTTTTAGCTTTTAGTATTCGCGTACGTCCGACGTGCTACCTTCAGACACATCGTAATAATTATGCAGACGAAATGCAAAAACATGATGGTCGATGGCGTGCTTGAACCCGCCACTCGACTCAAAGCTTTCGTGAAATGTGGAGATCGCTCCCTTCGGGCAAGTGAAGTTTACATAAGCTTACCTGCTAGAGGAGTGACCGTGGCCGGATAAAAGTTCTCGCCATGGTCGTCCTGGTCAGCCCAGTAGGCCAGCACTATTGTGTCCTTGTTGAAATCTTGCGCGTTGCGTGGACTAAAATCTTTCATCAACAACACAGGGAGCACAGCCCGCTCCTTGTCTTCCGTATATTGCACACACGCAGACATGCTTACAGTCTGCAATCTATACACAGAACAACTGTATAACTCACAACGCGACGAACATTTCAGTAAAAGTACTACACACGTGGAACCATACCTTTGATAACGCGAACACTACAGACAAAAACTCGGCACTGCTCTGTAGATATAGATGGCGCTAAAACAAGACTTTGTCTTTTTTTGTCACGTGTGTGTTTGCGTTAACTTTTAATTAAAAAATGATGTACAGTGCAATTTATTTTTTGTAGCTAGTTGGATGAACTATGTGTTCTTGTCACATCGTAAGTTTGTAGACTAGTTGCATGATAGTTTCGGTTTTATTCACGTAAAATCAATAACGCAGTCATCACACTTTTCTTTCTCCATTTTCATCGGCGCATTTGTTCCACATATGTAAGTGCGACCAACATATGCGTGCTGATTTGAACTGCAGCAATAAGAAAAGAAAAATTCTTCGCAATCGATTCTCAATGATCGTGCATGGCATTTCTCGACCGTGCCATCCGCATCTTGTGTCAATGGGCCATTCACCATCAATAAACCTCATCAAAGAAAAACGAGCCTTTAAAATTCCCATTCTTTCTTAAATCACAAAGAATGAAATTACCGTTGAAATGACACTGCGCGGCACCCGCTTGACAGCTTGGAGGACAGGACAACGGGTGAACTTAATTGGCTATGCTGCAGGGTCACTCATACCTTTTATTCTAACATAATTATCTTACGTTCATGCATCTCCCAGCCCGTCATCAGAGCGAAAAAAAAAGAGGAACACAAATCATGAGAGGGAGCTATGGGAATCGAACAAAGCGCAGGATGAGGATGTTTCATGAGACGCAGGATCCATGGTGACTTCTCAGACAAGAGAGGTCATTGATAGCTTGCTTAAGATATGGGGCGATGCAATCACTTGGACGATGTTAAAGCGCCAACCTTCAACAAGACTTGATTATTATTACTCGGTACTTACGTCGTCGATCGTTTATTCAATTAAGAGCTCTAGATTGATCATCACTTCTCGTATCGCATGTTTTTGTGTATAGGTTCACCAGCTGGTTGGCCAGAATCAAATAGTACTACAAATAAAATTGATACGTACTAGTACACTATGCACAATATTACAAATGCTACACCAATTAAGTATATAATTCATTGATGGAGCATATTTAGCTCTAAAGCAAGTGCATCTTCACTGCAGTGGCACAAAATTTATCTTTATTGAAGTACATACTAATTGAGCCACAAATTAACAAAATTCTATAATGAAGTTCAAATTGTTTTTTTTATTATCGCCTTCAGTCGATCGATTACAAAATTACCAATTAGTATAAGTTTAACTGCATGCAGCCATGGCGTGAGTTCCTTGCAGCAACAATAGGCATGCCTGTATACATGTGCTGGAATTACCGTCAGCGTTCGCCAGAGTAAGTGTATAAACTTACTGCGCCCTGGGTGCACCAATGCAAGCCTAAATCAACGCAATCGTTCATACATCTGATCAATTATTATACCGCAGCCTTAAGCGACAAGAAATCTTTGTTCAATTCTGCTGCTCGTAGATGCTTCTGCTGCTATTTTTCACTTAGTTTCTATCGGACGATTCGAAAAGCTTGTTATTCTACCAAATATATCAAGAATTTCGTAAGAGATAATTGTAGTGTCCTTCATGCAATCCGTCCTTTTCACTTTGTTAAAAGATGGTGTGTGATGTATTTTTATTGGATGTCATTCAAAACAACGAAAGTGAAAATGACAAATTATCGAAATACCGAACTTGACAACACCGAAAATTAAAATAGCTGGATGTGCCAAAAACCGAACTCATGTATACCCAGGAATACGCAGATAACAGCAGTAATTTTAACGCGAGAGTGTTAGAAAAAAGCATACATAGGTTGCGTTGACCCAACAAATGCAAGCCATAAATGTCATGGTCCTGGCAGATATTGATGGAACCTAAGCATTTTGCGTGGTATTCAAGTATCCTAGCACAGAGCCACGCTAGTTCTCGGAACAGCTCAACGTCAATTGTGGTTGCAGTATGTGCTGTCTAATTTTATAAACATAAATACTTCTATGATACAGCCCAGGGGTTAACGCCAATTGTATAGCTAGGCGCCGTCCACTTAAAGTTGAGTGATGTAGCACCAGAGAACACCTATGCCACTTTCACTGCCGAAGTCTACCATTCTCGCTTGCACTATCGCTACACATCAGCATACCACTTCTGTTGTTAATATAATGCCGATGTTGATGTTGGCATGATTACGCAACTGTAAACTGGTTATACAAAACATATGTGACTGTTCAACATGTCTGTGCGTACACCATTTTTCCATACCTTTAGCGTCATTTCGTAACATCTCCCACTATAAAAAATTTACAACACAGTCCCCTTCCCTAGCTATGCTTTGCATAGCATCGATTCCCAAGTTTCATGCATGGGATCTACAGAATTTTCTTTCAACAGTCGATCATTTCCCCTTGTTTATTGTATTTCAAAGAGATAAGTCGTGTGCAGTTTTTTGTACAAATTAAACTTTAAGCCTTGACATTGCTCCAGTTGCCCAGAGCAATTGCCAAGCGATATCTCTGGTTTTCGCGATAACTCTGGTTCTTGCTGTGATCGAGCTGCAACCCATTTTTCTTCGACACGAGCGCGATGCAGCCGTTCAGTCATGTTATAATATTTAATTTGTCTCTTAAAATAAATGATCAACACTTTTTAAACACGTAAGTAAGAAATTTTAATCCTATTATCGTAAGTGCTCCAGCCTGTGTAATTCGTGCAGCGAAGTCGCAGTGGTGCATGTCGTTAGCTGCGCATAAAGGGTTCATTCAGTTGCTCAGTGCGTTTAGATCTTGGCGAAGACTTGGCGTTTTTTGTAGCAGCACACTTTACGTGTTTGTTAGCCTAGCACCGCCGATGGCGACGTGCATTTAGTCCCGATCAGCAAAGCTTAGGCTTAGCGGTTTTTGTAGCAGCTCTGTGCACTAAACGTGTCCGCTAGCCTAGCCTCGCCTTGGCGACGCCTCCAACGAAAAAATCGCGCAAGGAGTATTTGCAACTCAGCTGAGAATTCGGTGTGCCAAAAACGACGTTTTACAGAAACCGAAGAAAAAAAGGCGCAAGGTCTGCAAGAGAGCTTTAACGAAGCAGCGTCGTCCATGTGCGCGGATAACACGCCATTCTCCAGCGCAGGCCAGTGCTCTAGCGCCCATGTGCCACGTGAACCATCACCTGCTCTTGATGAAGCAGAGTCGTCTACGTGCGTGGATGATGCACCGTGTTCCAGCACTAGCCAGTGCTCAAGTGACCATACCATCGAGGAAGCACAGTTCTCAGATGAACCAGAAGATCCAGACTCCACAGCGTGTGACGACGGCAGATTTCCCCCGCACTACAGCGAAGACGAAATACTGGCCACAGCATTTGGGAAATTAAGCTCGGAAAAGCACCCTAACCTCGGCACATCAAAAGCAGGGGCTGCTGCCATGGCCATGTCATTTGCAATCGCGCATGGCTTGACATGGATAGGCTTGGGCGATCTGGATAAGCTTGTAAATAACATAGCTGGTGTTAACATATTGCCAAAAAGCAAGTACACTTTTAGGAAAGTGTGGGCAACAGAGAAAAATGAATTAGTTACATACTGCAACACTTGTCATAAGTGTCAGGCTTTGTTGACTGTGGACGGTGGCGATGCTATGTGCACTGTCTGCCGCACTAAAGAAAGTGTCTTCAAAGTACACGAAAGGGGGTCATTTTTTGTCACGCTCAATATAAGCAGCCAGCTTAAACATCTAATTGACCAGACAAGAGAAAGCCTGAAAGAAGGGTTGTCGAAAAGAAGTGAGCGACACCAAAACGCTGTGACAGATATTACAAGTGCTGCCTGTTTTGATGAACTCTGTTTAGACGAAAACGCGAGCGTTGACGACTTGACTTTGACAATAGGTACGGACGGCACTCCAGTATTCAAATCGTCCAAGACTTCTGTGTGGCCTCTCTAAGTGTTAGTGAATGAACTCCTACTGCCACACGGATGCAAAATCTCATTTTAATAGGTCTTTGGTTTGGGAATTCTCACCCCAATATGCAGCACTTCCTGAGCAGGTTTTTTGTCCAGTTGGATAATATGGAACCAAGTATTTGGAAGACACAAAGGTGCACCATTCAGGAGTATTTGTGCTGTGCTGTGCTGTGGATGCACCGGCACGTGCTGCGGTTTTAAATATGGTGCAATTCAACGGCTTGCATGGCTGCCCACGGTGCCTTACAGTGACAACACACAAATATGGTAAGATATGCATGTACTTAAACCATTATTTTCATAAATGTTACAGTAGTATGGCTATTGTGTTTCGGAGGTATCTACAATTGAAAATTTTCAATAGCAACGAAGTCAATGCTTATTGTCAAGTCGGATACTCTAGAGCAATAACGTGTGGCCTGAATAAAGACCTACAAAGCAGTGGCAACTATAAATACAAAAATAGCATACATCATTTGTAATACAAATTTTGTGTCATAAAGTACACTTATGTAGCCTATGTTAGAATATAGTTTATGGACACATTTCACTCATTTTATTAATCAGGTTACTCACACCCAGGCTGCTTATGTCGAAATCTGAATATCTAATCAATGTGCAAGCTGCTATGGTGGAAAATTTGCTTCATGAACTAACTGTGTGCTGACCAATGAGAACACATACAACTACAAAAAAACATCAGTAGAAGTAATTAATAACCTGACGAAGAAGACTGTGAATAGCACCAGAAGTTTGAGCTAAGGATAAGCTATTTAATGTTGGCAGCTGCCTGCTTATTTTCTCACACTGGGAAGCATGCAGCCAGATTCTAGAAATTTCTTGCTTCAGTATTTGACACTTGCAATAATATGACTCGTTTGGCTGCTGATGTCAGTCTTGATCACGGGCCCGTTGGTTCAGCATAGTGTGCACGCGTCTTTAAGAAGGAAATGCCACAGACTTCTAAAAGTC